AAAAAACAACACTTAGCCAACTTATAACTATACTTAAAGAACTTGCTAAACTACATACAAGTAGGCTAACAACAGCAACTACTTAGCAAACAGCCCGGGCATCCAAGCACATGTCCACCCCGTCCTCCTGAGGGCTCTGTGTACTGCACCTGCCACGAAATCTGCACCTCAGGCTCACCAAGTGCTGTGCCTGCCACGAAATCTACACGAGAGGCAGCTGCGGGCCAGCAGCGACCACGCGTCCACCCAGTCCTCCTGCAGGCTCTGTGTACTGTGCCTGCCGAAATCTGCACTCCAGGTTCCCCAAGTGCTGTCCCTACACGACAGGCAGCCGCGGGCCAGCGGCGACCACGCGTCCACCCAGTCCTCCTGCAGTCTCTGTGTCCTGCGCCTGCGGCGAAATCTGCACTCCTGGTTCACCAAGTGCTGTGCCAGCGGCGACCACGCGTCCACCCAGTCCTCCTGCATGCTCTGTGTACTGCGCCTGTACGATGAGTGGTGTAAGCTGAGTGGTGTGAGATGATTGGTGTGAGATGAGTGGTGTAAGATGGGTCGTGGAATATGAGTGGTGTTAGATGGGTGGTGTAACATGCGTGGTGTGAGATGAGTGGTGTAAGATGGGTGGTGTGAGATGGGTGGTGTAAGATAGGTGGTGTGAGATGACTGGTGTAAGATGAGTGGTGTAATACGGCGGCGGGCGGAGGCGGGCGGCGGGAGGTTTCGGAGCGGCGGGTGCAGAGCGAAAAACAAGAACCCCACATGTAGTGATGTGGGGAATTACTAATTGTCTAAAGAAGCACATTAAATCAACAGTGACTGAGCGACAGTGACAGAGACTCTGGCTTGTGAATAGAAACATAAACAGCCCGGACATGTCCGAAAATTAATTACACGTTTTTGTGCTGGGCAGCCAACCAACTTGAGCTGCTATAGACACAAGGCCAGTGCCACAGCCAAGCTCCAAGACCTACATTAACTGACTACCCCGTGGCCCATAGCCCGTAGCATTAAGGCATCCAAACCTACAGCCTTCTAAGAATTCTTGTCACAGCAAGGTGTATAGTCTAGTCGGATAGTGGTTTCCAAGATTGCAAAAAAACTTGGCATGAAGAGAAAGAAAGCACGTGTTTCCAGAAAATGCAGAAAACAAACGTCTCAACGGTTCTGCAACGGTTCTGCAAAGATATTCCAGGGTGAGGGCCGAACGTCCGCAGACTTCAGGAAGTAGCCTCGAGGGTCTTTTCTGTGAAGACTTAAGCATATCATTGCACGGAAGATTAAGGGGGCAAGTGGGGGCAGGGTGTAGGCCTTAGGGGGTGGGCTAACAAGTAGCTACAAGTAGTAAGGAGTAAGTAGGAGATCTTGGTAGCTTCCTAGGCTTGTCCGCAGGCTAGGGCTCAGGCTTCTCCATAGAAGCTCCCCCCTCTTCACCCTCGAAGCCTGACCCTTAATGATTTGGTTCCTAGGTTCTTTTGTAAACTTAACTATAGGGTACTGCACTTTAGGTAGGTTGAGTTAGCGACAGGATACTATGAGGTAGCAAGGACATGAAGTCCCTAGATTTTGGACAGCTAGATGTCGGAAAGCAAAGCGTGACAGCTGGAACGGAAAATTCTGTTGCCAAACAGGCCTAGGGCCTGGATGACTACTTGCTTGAAGTTGATGATGGTGTCGGATATCAGTCCGAAGCTACCCTTTCTGCCTCTCTGCCACCAAATATGCAGATGGCCAGGCCTGCAAAATCCACTGAACTTCTTTAAAGGAGCCCTAGTGGCGTTCTTGCTCCTAGTAGTGAGGCCAGGAGCCCCTAGTAGCGTCCTTGCTCCTGGTAGTAAGGCCAGGAGCCCTATAGTAGCGTCCTTGCACCTAGTAGTGAGGCCAGGAGCCCCTAGTAGCGTCCTTGCCCCTAGTAGCGCCCTTGCTCCTAGTAGTGAGGTCAGGAGCCCTAGTAGCATCCTTGCTCCTAGTAGTGAGGTCAGGAGCCCTTAGTAGCATCCTTGCTCCTAGTAGTGAGGCCAGGAGCCCCTAGTAGCGTCCTTGCTCCTAGTAGTGAGGCCAGGAGCCCCTAGTAGCATCCTTGCTCCTAGTAGTGAGGCCAGGAGCCCGCTAGTAGCGGCCTTGCTCCTAGTAGTGAGGCCAGGAGCCCCTAGTAGCGTCCTTGCTCCTAGTAGTGAGGTCAGGAGCCCCTAGTAGCGTCCTTGCTCCTAGTAGTGAGGCCAGGAGCCCCTAGTAGCGTCCTTGGTACTAGTAGTAAGGCCAGGAGCCCCTAGTAGCGTCCTTGCTCTTTCTTGTTGAAGGGACTTCACAAACATTTAGCGCCGCTTTGGTGGTTTAAAGCTCCAAATGTCTTGAGGTCTGCGAGTCCTTCGAGCCAAAAGGGTCATTCTCGCCCTGCTTCTGGAAGCTTCGAGTAGCCTCAGAATTCCCGTTTCTCACTTTGGCACAGTTTCTTTCATAAGTTTTTGTGGTCAACTTGGAAAACTGTTGACTGTTTCCTAACAAAAACTAGGAATGAAATGGAATGAAGTCATTAGTGCAAGCGCTTCTTCAAGGAAGCTCCTTGAAGAAGCGTGAGCTATCCTGCGTCCATTTCCTAGTAGCTTACTTGTAGGTACTAGCTACCTCACAGTTCCTTATTTAATTAAGTAGGTATTCTCTACTTGTTATATAAGTAGGGAGGGGGGAGCAAGAACGCTACTAGGAACAAAAGGCATCGCTACTAGGAGCAAGGACGCTACAGGGGATCCTGGCCTTACTACTAGGAACAAGGACGCTACTAGGAGCATTCTGTAAAAGCATCCTCCTGGGATTTGAACTTCATTGCTGTCAGCGGCCTCCAAGAGCCGGATGGGTGGCAGCCTAGATCGGCAAACGGTCGAAAGTCGACTCACCAAAACTAAAATCCAAAACGAACAAAACTCCTTCGGTTAGACCGAAAGCAAATCGCACAAACAACGGACTGATGGGTGTCATGGGCAAAACGCATTAAACATGCTCTTCAAAGCATAAACCCCACACCTTGGTAGGTGTATTCGCAATTCATGCAGAGCTATTGCGTGATCTGACCTACGCACTCAGCTTGTCAGGAATGGAGCTTGGGGGGATACATTCGAAATGCTTTGGTGAAGTTCATATCTAACCGGTCTGTGAGAACCTACTAGTCGTACAGCTCCTGGCATCGCTAGTAACAAGGACGCTGTCTGTGCGCCACGAGTCTCTAATTTCTGTGGCAGCCTTGGACTTGAAATGTCGGGGGACATCTCTGGTGAAGTCGGGGGGCTTGAAGAGCCTTGGCAAGCGAGACAGAGCAAACATGTTTTCCTTTATATATTTTTGTATAAGTTTTTGTATACTTGAATGTCAAAATCATTTGTTTAAGTTTCTTGTGGTTTTGCTTCTTTTGGATCTTTAAACAATTTTGTTTCTTCCTTAGTGTTTTCTATGCCTTTGTTCAACATGTCTTTTTGCACAGAATGCACATCAATACGTAAAAGGAGCTAAGCCGGTGACCAACAGTCTGCCCCAAGGTGCCTGCTCCCCATGGTCCCCATTTGTTTAATGTCAGGATTGACATAGGACTGCCAATAAGCAAACGGCCCAATCACACTATTACCACATTGCTTCATTGATAGCAACATAAAGTTCTTTGCAACCCAGCAACTCTGCAAGATCTGCAAGGCACGCAGGCGCTGGGCAGCATCTTCGTCAAGTCCATCCATGTCGCTGTCCTTGGACTTTTGCCCAAACACCCCAGCAAACGTCCTATCAATATGCACGCTTAACAATGGAATTCCAACGTATCTTTTGAGACCATCAAACACACCATTTGCATTCGTTCAAGTGGAAGGCTCTTGTATCCTTGGCCCATGAGCTGCGTGATGCATAATCATGTCAGCCTCCACAAATGTCGATCGAATGGAATCTTTGCTTATCAAGCGTGGGCTGGGTGCGAGACTCTAAGCGACTCATCTGTAGTCCCAGGTTCCAGAAGCCTTCAAGCGCTTGTCGAGTGGTTGAATAATGTTGAATACTCGTGAATCCTCTTCCAAAGGTGTTAACAGAGCTTGAGTATGGGATGATGGAGAAAGAATGCTGAAGGGTCAAATGAACAATTTGGAGAATGCTGCTGTTATCCAGGTGCCTCAACAACGCTTCCCGGTGTTGCTTCACCTGCAACATTCACAGAACTTGATCTTTCGCATGTCAGCGGACGGGCCTATGCCTGCATCACAACTCATTGCGGCACAGTTCTCCCTGCTGCCATTGCGGCGCAAATCATTCTCAACAAAACATCTCTAGCATCTCATCATCACTCCGATGTAAGACACCTCAGCTTGATCCTGAGAGTGGAGGAATGTTCATGCCAACTTTCAATCAACAGATATAAGTGTTGGGTTTAACTTGCCTTTTCTCATGTTGTCAAGCATGAATGCCGAATTGTTTCTCGCCATGTCCGCTAAGTGAAGATTATCTACCTTTGTCTTGTGGGCCAAGAAGTGCGCAGGTGAACGGAGCATATCCAGAACAACATCAGCAAGCAAGCAACCAGCCCAAACTCCCTGAACTGCCCCTGCCTGATTGCTTTGTCGATCAAAGGCATATTGACGCGCGATCGCATTTCAAAGAACATTCCTGCCGCATTGGCCCCAAAGGACGCTCCTAGGGGCTCCTGGCATCGCTACTAGTATCAAGAAGCTACTAGGAACAAGGTGCATCGCTACTAGGAGCAAGGATGCTATTAGGGGCTCCTGGCCTTACTACTAGGAGCAAGAAGCTACTAG